TTGACTGAGTCTCTTGGGTTTCTAGGTATAGGATCATATCATCAGCAAATAGGGATAGTTTGACTTCTTCCTTACCAATTTGGATGCCTTTGATTTTAACAACATTCCTTGGTAAGCATATCTAGTAAAAAACATTAAGAATAGACTTGCAAGTATGTGCCTGTTTGTGGGGATCAGCATGTGTGCCATCTCAGCACTTGGCACCTTCAGTTATTTAGTTGGTCAAGCTGGAAGCCTGGGTGCACTCTCACCCCGCTCTCCCCCACCTCCTCCTGTCATTCCAGGCTTGTGTTGAATTGGCCTCCTTGTTCTCACTCCTTGCTCCCCTCCTCTTCTTCCCTTTGGTTGCACCGTGCTCATTGCTCGTCTCTCATCAGAACCATTGCTGCAGCTTCCTCTCTCCTGCCAGTCACCTCTGCATGGCCACAAGAGTCATCTCATAACAAACCAAGCTGCCTTAACAGCTTTCACAGAGCACACACAGGTAAGTCCCCAAAGAAGAGCTACATTTACAAATCCAGTGTATGTAGACAAACATATGGAAAAACCTTCACCCTCACTACAATCAAGATACGCAAATTAGAGTAAAGTGGGATGTTTTGCCTATAAAATGAGTACTTTTCTTTTTTAAATAAATTAAAATAGCCAAGCTGCAAGAATTCAGGGAGAGAGGCACTCTTACATTTGCTGCTGTGAATGTAATAGTTACAGCCTTTTTGAAAGCAACTTTGCTACAGGAATTGAAAGCTTTCACTATCCATCGCCTTTGATCTGACAACCCCAGCTTCTGGAAATCTGTTCAAAGGAGAAAACCTTCAGTATGGAAACACTCATGCATCAAGATATTTGCCAGTTTCCTTTCATTTGTGCATTCAACATATATGTACCGGGCACAAAACTCAGGATCCAACTCTGTGCTTGATCAAACACAGATTCTGACTTCAGGAAATAAAGTCATGAAAATGTGTGTGTTGGGGAGGGGGTGAGTAGACAGTAGGTCAGATGACTGGTGGAAAGCAGGTGAATAAAACACAACACAGTGAATGCTGTGACTAGTATGAATACAA